TTTACCATCAAATTAACATTGCAGACTCAAGTGTTAAAAAAAAAGAAGGACAGTACACCAAGTTAACTTTCACAAAGACTTCTGGCACTGTTACTAGGGACAAAAAAATGGCAAATAGCTGACTGGCACTTCCTCAGTAACACTTATATGCCAACTCTCATGGATTATCTGGGAGACTCCTGGATATGGCACTGATCCCCTGCTCTCCTGTACAGGTCATCAAATCTTCCAGGAAAAAATAACCTCTTGAGCATTTCTGTGCTTTAGTTTGAAATTAAGCCCATTTGTTTCTCAATATTCAAATTATTTTTATTTGTAGTACAGTTTCAGGGGCACTATTGGACGTAATTAGTCACTAACAAAGATTTCTTTGTTATTAAAATGCTGATTGCAAATTTGGAAAGTATCTACTTCATGTAAGACTTCATATAATGTCCTAAGCCATTCCCATGGGGGGCTGTGTCGATTTATCAAGGGGGGGGGGGGGGGCGGGTGGCATTTGGGGGGGGGGGGGGGGGGGGGGGGAAAAAGGGGGGGGCCCAGAATTTTAAATTTGGGGGGGTTGGCCGACTTGGTGACACTCCCAAGATTAATTTTTTTGCTTATTCAGTTTATTTTTTTTCTTGTATTAAGTTTCTTTTGTAGTATGTTGATAAGCTATAGTTAGCGTTTATAGATAATTTGAAAATTAAAAGTTTTATTATCTAACAAAAGGATTTTGTTTATTTTGGGAAGAGTCGATCGTTATAACAATCTGATGATGGGGGGGCGGTGGTGGGGTGGTGGTGAGGGGGGGGTTGGGAGGGGGGGGGGGGGGGGTCCGTTGACATTTGGTGGTAGAGAGTAGGGGGTAGGGCAAAAGAGAGAGTCTCCAGATTTTCAATTTGCAGAGGTTGGCATCTCTGGTAACGATCCCAGAATTAATAATATTATTGTGGCACGCATTTCTGCTCTGTTCCCTTCATGCTTCTTAAGTGTTGAATTATCAAAATCGGGTTCCAACAAATGAAATATGTTTTACATGTAAGACTGAACAAAATAAGCACAAATAAGTACATTCACTTTTAACCTTCCTCATAATGTGTGCTTCCATTTTGAACTCTTGTGTCATCATTTGGAAAAATAAGTACAGCTGTAGTATTTGAACTTCTGTACATTAAATTCTGCATTTCTAATATTTAGGGGAAAAAAAGAGCTGAACTTCACACTTCCTCTTTGGTAATTCTTTTAAGTGCTTTAGGAAGAAATCACCATCATAACATAAAATTCTCACCTTTATTGCAAAATCTCCAAGGCTTAAATCTGTAAGTATTTCAGACACAATTTTTACACACTCTGCATCAGGAATCATAGCATCATACTCTCCAGCGATGTCAATGTCCTGGAGATGAAAAATGAAAAACCAAATCAACAATGAAGTAAGCAGTATTTTGAAGATACAGATGGGTACAGTGCCTGTTTATATTCACTGATGCACTCATGGACAATAACAGAAAGACACAAAGTCATCCCCCAAAGTTTGACCAAACCATGGTCAAACATTTAAAAAACAACTTTTTTCTATTAAAGACACTTAAAAATTTAAACACATTGCCCTGATGTTTTCAACTAAAAGTCAATTTTTTCATACGTGTCTACCTACAAAGGCACTTTCCTTTTTAATGTTTTTTTTTTCCATGTACTACTATAAGGTTGGTAACTTTGGGTCACTCTTTATAATATTTCACTGTACAATAATGCACCTCAACTAGATTTTCACCGACACTGTAGCAAAGAACCTTGCCCCTTAAATGTGAGCTCAAAATAATCTATACTACCGGTAAGCTAACAAAGGCCATGAGTAAGATTTTAGGATGCCAAATGTCACTGACTTAAGACATACAGGCAAGATTATTTTACACTAAGCATCAATCCCGGTCTATAGGATCCAAAATAATGAACCTATCAGGTAGGTACAGGCATTTAATGTTATTTACAGTAATCCTAGTATAATCCAAGCATTTTAGAGTGAATTATTAAAATAAGCATGAATACAAGTGAAACAGAACAAGCTCAAGAATGGAAAATGCTGATCTGTGTACATGTACTTGTGCTTTTGCTTGCATCATGGTCTTCTTTTAGAGTGAAACAAACAAGGATTTTGATCCTTGTGTGCATCCTTGGTCTTGTGCTAGTGTTACTAGTGAAACCACAAAGCATAAGAAAAAAAGAAACTGAAACCCTCTTATTATGACCGCCAAAGGGCCATGAAGATCTATTCAGGCATATAAACGAGGTTTTCAGAAAAAATTATCAGTTTTGTTTTGGTATTTGGTCCAATGGATGTAGTTCATGGTAATGGCACATGGTCATAAAGCTTGGTTTCACTGAACATGTGGTTCTTTTTAATAATCTTAAGTTAAATCTCACTGTTTTTCTAGAGGTAGGATTTCTTGGGCACGTCCAAAACTAGCACTACCTAGTCAAGTACAGGGTGCAAGGGTGTCACAAAGTTCTGGAGTGTGATTTGAACTTACACACTGATAAAATTCCCTGTATCTTCCTCTTGTCATGGCTGGGTTGTCTCTTCGATAAACCTTGGCAATGTGATACCTTTTAATACTCTTAATTTTATTCATGGCGACATATCTTGCAAATGGCACCTTGAGAGAGACTGTCAAAGAAAGTCAACAGGTACAACACAATAGATATGTACAATGTACAAGTACAAAAAAACAACCCAGTAAGAAAATAACAGTCATGACAATTATAACCACCCTGATTAAAGTATGGTAAGTTGTCAAAATTGACTAATTTACAATTTACAGGTATTTTAAGCATGGAAAACTGTTACTGCACTAAGAGAAACTGTACCAGGAAGGTCTGAATATAAACACACAAAATTTCAAAAATAAAGCTGAGTGCTTAAAAGTAATCAATTTCTCATCCATCTTGGGCTTAAGCACAGTGAAATTGGCTTACTGCAATGAAAATTCCTTACACAAAATTCAGGTCTTATTTAGAAGGATACTGTTAAGTCGTATCTCAGGGATAAGAATTCTCCTCCTTGATCAGCCAGATCATAAATTAATTTGGAATCTTCACCATATTTTCCTGTTAATGTTTCCTACAAAGGAAAAGAAAGATAACGGGACACAAAACAGAGTTAGACCAAAATGAACTGCTACATATGGCTGAAATTCCGGGGCTGGCATTTTGTTATGTTAATCTTTTTTTAATAATACTATTTAAGCAACAATTGTAGTACCCTAGCAGGGTGTAAAACATCTAAGTTCTGGGATGACATCACAAGACACAGAAGAGTTATGTCTGTGATCTCGAATGACTGCACCCAATGATGGCCACTGTCACCACACCAGCACACTGAGTGAATCCAACAATGCCCCACTCCCCTTTTCAGAATTCCTTGTGCATAAGGAATCATTTAAACACGTGTACTGTAACAACACTAGAAACCAACCCACATAACTGCATCTGGCTTGGCGAAGGAGTTTGTCCCCCAGCTAAACCAGGGTTACTATGTGGTCTTGCAGTGAACCAGACATTTACAAATTGATGTAGGAATTTGCTTAAGAACTTCCCACAAATATCTGGCAAAAATGTGTGCAAGACCATAATCACATCATCAAGAGCTCCCAGAGAAACAAAATCTTGGACAGAATGAAACTGAATACATGCACACGTGAACTTTATGAGAGAGGGGTGGGGCCCTTGGGTTTAAAAAGTGGACCCACATGAAACATGCACATGCCAGGAAACTGGCCCAACTACCAACCACAACCTGTTACTCCATAGCTATATAGCTTATTTCTTTCTTGACGCCCTGGTTTGCTAAAACAATTTACAGTTTCCTAACACGTTTTGTTATATTCCTAGACTTTCACTCAACTAAACAGGGACTGCCATTGGTTGATTCTTGGTCACGTGGCCTTGACTAAAATCAATTGTATCCCGATTGTGATACATTAAGCAAATTATGTACCCCGCTCGGGCTACATTACAAGACGTGATCAAAGCATGGTGGAAAGTGCTGTGACAGAAGGAGGGAAAAACACTGCCAGTTTTCTATTTCGTGAATGAACACAACAACTTGAACACAAACACGACGCCTCAACCTAAAAAGCAACGAGAAGAGAAACAGAAGCTAGTTGAGGAAAAAGAGGCAAATAATATAAGGAAAGTCCACTGTAAATCATTCATTCAGTGGTTTCAAGAATTAAATTTGTGTTGTTATAAGTACCGAGTCGACTGTTTTGGTTTGCTCCGGTTATTCTTTTGTTGCTGTTGAAGTGAAAGTCTAGAAATATAACAAAACACTTAATGTCACGTCCCTCAGGAAACCAGTCAGTTTTGTTTTCCCTTGACTCGGGAAAACAAAACTAACTGTTTCCCTCGGGAACTGACATTAAGTGTATAATGGCCATCTGTACATTAAATTGTAACCTTTTGTACTGTAATTTACAATAATTTTGATGAAGTGTTTGATCACCGAATGCAGTGCATTGAACTATCTCCCACAGAACTTGATCTGATTGTCCTTGGTGCACTGCAAAGGCATTTTAGTCGGTCTAAAGAAAAGAAATGCATTCGGATGAATTACTTCTTTCGCGATGTTCAAGTATGTAAGAAAACATTCTTGTTTGTCTACGGCATAGGAAAGTCACTATTGGAAAACTTAAAAGCTCACTTTAAGAGGGATGGAATAGTTCCAAGGACACACGCGAACACCTCATGATTGCCTAAGAACACGCTAAATTAATCATGAAGTTTTAGACCGGACCGTTACATTTATTAAAAACTTGGCAGCTGAACGGGCAGTTTTTCTTCCAGGAAGGTATCTGAAATTTAAGGATTTCAAAGTGCAACTGCTTCCTTCATCAGAAAGCAAAGCATCTTTATGGAGACGGTACAAAAAGGCCTCAGAAGACAAGAATTTAGGTGCAGTTAGTTACACCAAATTTGTCGACCTCTGGAACTCTTTAACACCATATATTGTGATAATGAAGCCCGTCTCGGATCTTTGCAGTATTTGCCAACTAAACAACGGGAAGATAGCTGCAAACGTCAACGTGACTGAACAAGAAAAACTGAACTGTCTTCATAATCAAGAGACACACCTACAGGAAGCAAAATTAGAATGGGAGTTTATGAAAAAGAACATCGCGGCATGCAGAGATTTGTTACAAAATGGCGGGATCGACCTCTTGTCACCAAGGCCCAGCTGTTCATTAGAAGGAACTGTGCACTACTCCTACGACTATACACAGCAAGTGCATATTCCCTCCAATCCTCAGCAACCTGGTCCAGTTTACTTTAAAACTCCTCAGAAATGCGGCCTGTTTGGGGTATGTTGTGAGGGAATACCTAGACAGATCAATTACCTCATTGACGAGGCAGTTTCTAATGGCAAAGGTGCCAATGCAACCATTAGTTATGTGCATGACTTCTTCATTTCTCACGGGGCCGGGGAAACCGATGTACAAATTAACCCGGATAATTGTGGGGCACAGAACAAAAACGATTTTTTTATCTGGTAATACTCCTGGCGAATTCTTTTTGGAATGCACAAATCAATATTGTATTCGTTTTTAATTGCAGGGCATACAAAATTTAGTCCAGACTGGTGTTTTGGATTAATCAAACAGTCGTTTAGGAGACACTATGTTTCTTCCCTTTTTGACCTGATGATTACTGTAGACAAGTCGACAGTGTCTGTCTCAAAATTGTGCGGTCTTCATGATGGCACTCTTTTGGTTCCAGTCTATGACTGGGTGACATTTCTTGAACCCTGTTTTAAGAAAATTCCAGGTATAAGCACTTTTCATCATTTTCGTTTTTCAAAAGATCACCCTGGCGTGGTTTTCTGTCGAACCCTCGTAGATTCAGCAGAAATTGAATTCCAAATTCTCAAAAACCTTGAAATAAGACCTCCAAACCAGATACCTCCCAAAATCATTCCTTCAGGCTTGGGTGAAGAAAGAAAATGATATTTGTAGGGAGTTTTGTCGGCCTGGGACAGAAGACATGGTTGCACCTGCACCCTAACTTTGAAGGTAAAATTGTCCCAAGCACGAAACATGGGGATCCTATACAATACAATAGGGAGGAGCGAGATAAGCTACAGTGTATGCGCTCAAACTTCTTAGACAGCAATAGAGATATGTATGTATATGAATGTCTACAACTTGACTTTCGGATTAAAGAGTAGCGTTTTGGGACTAGTACATATTCCCGAGAAAGAACAGGAAAAGAAAGAACAAACTAAGGAACTTGTAATTTATCATACAAATTATTAAATACTAGGAGTAATAAATAAATTATTGTTTGTAATCTCTTTAACGTACTCTAGAGGTATTTTGAGGAATTAGCTGCTTAGTAATGTGATCTGCAAACTTTGTCGTAGTAAAGGATCCGAAGTGCTATTTCTGTTTTCCTTGCCTCCCGCGAATATTCTGCATACTAGTTTCGATTGACCCTTACGAACCCCTGGGCCGTGATGACGGTAGTGTCACACAACAAGCTTTGATCAGAAAATATTCGTGATAATAAATTTTGCCATCTTCATGACAGCTGACTGGTACAGATAAAAGCCATGAATCAGTTTGTGAAGAATGTCACGTTTCAGGTTTTCGCTTTTAAAGGATACAATGTTTAGCGTTTGGTGGGGCCTTACAAGACCGAACTGGTTGAATTTGTCGAATCCCCGGGCATAAAAACACTGGAAACACGGGAAGAAGGAAAAGTCAGTAAATAGTACAACTCCCCCGTAGAAATTTGGTATATTTTAATATTTAAAATCAGCGACCCATATTAAGCATCTGATATCTGTTAATTTTATAGGGAGCTATCAAACAAGGCGGTCACAAACACGCACACCGCCGTAACACTGAAAGAACAGCATAAATAAATTCAGACCTATAACGCTTTCGATAATGCGTGCTTTCAAATTTAATTCCCCTCTCTTTTGCCCTCTTTATTAACACAGACTTGCAAACTGAAAATGGAACAAATTATTGATTCCTCGGATCAAACATTTCTCACGTTGTGAAGTTTTAAACGTTTTATCACTTTATTTATGACTGTGGCTCTAAATTGTCGAATGATGGAGAGAGGAGACGCCTGACAGTTTGGAGTTTTTGTAACTCACTCGTTGACAATGTTAGAATGTTTTGTGAATGTTTCCCTTTGCAACAAATTAATGATGTTCTATTTAATTCATTTTCAATGTTCGAAAATGTTTTCCAAATGTTTTTAAATGATTTTGAAATGATACTGAACGTTTCTTAGTTCCGTTGGAGAACATTGCCAACGTTTTCAAATGCATTAAGAATGTTCGCCAACGTATTGCAACGTTTCCAAATGCATTGCGATAAAAAACAGTTCAACACAATTTTCATTAAGCCCGCTTTTCCTAAATAGGGTCACATATACAATAACTTAACACTTAGGGGAGTCATGATATTTTGATTAGTTTAATGTTTCCTGTCAAAAAATGATCAATAGAAAGCAAATATTAGCAGTAACTTTGACCACTTAATGTAAATGAAGCTCACAAAGTGATTTCATAAATTGTACATTTGACTACTGCACCTTCATCTCAAACACTGGAGTGTCGATTTGTTCAGCACCATGTCTTTCAAAACAGCTGATGATGGCTTTGAATGCTCTCTCTCTGACAGCCATTTGTTTTGGCTCATAGTCTCGTGTTCCCTACACAAAACATTGAAAATGACAGTTAACTAAATATGCAGTACTGCCCAAAAGAAACTTGACAGTCTCAACTCAAGACTCAATTCTCGCATCTCAAAACTTGAACAAAATAAAAGTTTCAAAGATGTGATTCACAAGTCTTGAGTTTGGAGTTTCCAAGTGAGGAGAGAGCAGCTGGCCAGAAGCTCTCATGGGTCTTTTTTAAAAAGGTATTCTTGGCAGTGGTGGGTTTTACTTGTAGCAAAAATTTCAAGTGACTAATACTTTATTTTTAAAGCCCTTAGTGACAGCTGTCGGTAGTGTTCTTTGTTTAATACTCTGATCCTTTATGATTATACTTATCCAGCATAGAAACAAGTTGATGAAACTACTAACAAAAATATTCTACACACACCATAAAGCCTGTACAGCTGTACACATGTACCTGTGTTCATAAAGGTACATGTAATGCAATGTTGTAGGTAAAATCCCTTCTCAGGTCAAATGATTGGAATTTCCTTTGTCTCCTACACAAAGTCATACACTGTAACTGAGCCTCAGATCAAACAAAGAGAATTTTGAATCAAACTACTGTAGCTTGAATACTAGTTTAACCTGAGAATAGATTTAACCCACAACATGTTACACATATATATTCAACATAAAAACAATATTATTAATATGTGTGTATATTAAAGGGTCGTTGTCTGAAGGTCTGATACAGAGTTTATCATGGGTAAATAATTACCATAAAACCCTGCAGTATAACTTTCATGACCACTCTTCCAAACGTTATTTACAATGAAGTCCAAAAAATAAGGACTCTTGTGCTATGTTAGTATAAATGTTTGGGATAATAACCAAATACAACTGTACTTATAGCTCGCATCACAGGCATTTTCTTCTGGCCCCGGTTCCTGGAAAGCAGATTAATCTATCCTCCGATTAGCGTCAAATCCACGATTAAATTTCTTATTCCTCGGATAACTAATCGTGGGTTAAAAAGGAGTTCCTGAAAGCGAAATTATCCCACGATTAACTAATCCCAGATTAGTGCTAAATGAAAACCAGTTTAACGAGTTTTTCGACCGCCTGCCTCTAAAAAAATATGGCGCGAAAACTTGGCGCGGATTGCGGGGCCGGTGAAGAAAACAAAATGGCGGAAAGTGAGGTGAAAGAACTTGACGTAAAGGAAAGAAAAAGAAAACCAAATTTCTCACCGCTTGAGATTTCCGTAATTACAGAAAGTGTGAAAAAAAATATTGATGTGATCCAGTCAAAGCTGACGAATAATATAACCAACAAAAAAAAAAGTCAAGTCTGGGAGGAGATTACCAAGGAGGTAAATGCTGTTGGCCGAGCGAATCGCTCCGTCCAAGAAATAAAAGACAAGTGGAAGAACCTCCACTCAACAGCCAAAAAAGAATTTAGTAATTACAAGAAAGAGTACAAGAAGACTGGCGGTGGACCTCCACCCAAGCCCCCTTCCCAGTCAAGTGAGCAAATCATAGAAATTTTTGAGGACACACCCGCCTTCTCCGGACTGGGGGGATTTGAGACTGGTGGCGGCGAAGGGCTTGGTGAGAAAGCTTATGTAAATATTTCATTGTTTTACTGGTCATGTGATTTCCTAGAAAGCTGTAGCTTTGTCCGCCATTTTTGGTATGTTTTATCTGGGAACCTTTCGTGGAGCATTTTAAGATAAGTACTTAAGTGTTTATTATTTTGCAGAGTTTCCTCCCCATTTTCTGCCATTTTACTTTGCGAAATTACCAACTCGATGATCCCCGACAGCAGCAAAAACGGGGTTAACTTCGGTGTAAGAACCTGTGAACTTTGTTTTTCTTGGTTCTGTTGTCTTCTTTGAATTCTCTCTTACACCGAGAAACGTTCGAATGTAGGCTCTGATGAACTCGTAATTCGAGAATAAGAATTTGTTCTCCTTTGCTTTTCAGTGAAAAGCTTACTTTTTTTTTTTTATAGTCAAGCTTGCATTAATGTTTCGAAGGCAAGTTTTATTTCGATGTAACAACATAGGAACGGGTACCCTGCGAGCAGAGGCCCTTCGATCTTCCTAGATAAGTCGGGAAGAGGAAGGGACGACTTATCTAGGAAGATCGAAGGGCCTCTGCTCGCAGGGTAAGGAACGGGTCAACAGCGAAGGAAATCTCAATCGCAGTAATAGAAGGACTTGAAAAAAGGCCACTGAGTGCTTATAAAAGACATCAATACAAGCTTACGTAAATATCCTATCTTTTTCAACATTTCACCTATAGTTCAAATTTCTGGTGCTGAATGCACAACATTTTCTTGAATTGAATATAGTAGAACCAGCTGAAGCAGATATTGTGGAAGACCAACAAGATTTACCAACGCTATCGAGTGAAGATATGATGAAACTTGGTCTGATAGCACAGGTTAAGGAAGATCATTCACCGTTGCCACCAAATAGAAAGAGACGAATTTCACAAGCTGATATTCTGGAAGAGCAGCAAAAGGCATTAAAGCTGCAACAAGAAATGCTAGAGCTAAAGAAAACAAAGCTTCGAATGGAAATTCTTCTTATCAGCAAAAAACTGGATGATGAAGATAAGGAAAACATCCCAAATTGAATGCAGGATATTTTTTATGAACACTTTATATTGATATTGGGATTTTACATTAGCTTACAATGTTTTGTAAAATGTTTCAGATTCTACATAAATTTCAAGCATATTTTTTCATACACAAAATCTTGTTTATCCCAGTTATGGAAATAATGTCTCTGTGACCAGTTACATAGTAATATATTTCATTTTGATTCAAATCCATTATTTTATATTGCATTAAATTAAGTTTTATTATTATCAATTACATTTAATGATAAAATTAAAAACAACTTTGCCCAATCCATAATTGGCATATATTTTCCATTATGGGTAGCACTTATATCATTGAAAGGTTTTTTTCCATTTCACATTACATGTCATCTTCTTGCCTCTTTTGAAAGAACCTTTGAGTGAACTTTCAACTGAATAGCTTATTCTCCACAAATCCAAATGGTGCTATTTGAGCAACACAAAATAATAAATTGTATCACAAAATACTTTAAAGCAGCTTGACAGGCATAGTAGCTGTATATAGAATTTTTCTTATTGCTACTAGATATATATCACCTGAGTGAGATAGGGTGGGGGTCACACAGTACTAATTACATTTCCTCCAAGAAAAATTACAGGTGGAATTGAGTCTTTTGTTTCTTGCATTCTCCTTTCATTTTTATTATCCATGTAAAACTGAGTGGAAGGATCCATATTGGTATTACAAAATGTAAGTGTTAATGTTGGCTTAGGGAAGGGGTAGGTGGACAGTTTCGCAGAAACCTATAATGATCTGATAAGTCATTACTATTTGGAATCTTTACAACAGGCAGAATTGTAGGAATTATTCCTTTGTACTGGTTTCCTTTTATCCAGAAAATGTCTTGTAGTTCCAAGTGTATTAACAGTGGTTTCTGTTACCTCCCATTTTTACCATATGCGATCATTCTGACAATGTTTTCTCGGAGCAATATTTTGAATGTCAAACTACTGGAAGTATGATACCAATTGTTAAGGATTTCCAAATTATCTCAGAGATACTTGGTCATAATACTTCCGTTAGTGTATTTACATTAGCTGTTAAGCCTTAGTCAGTGACATAAAAATTTTGAACATTTTGGCGAGAGATGTTGTGACTATGTTAGGACATAAACAGTACCAATAGCTGAACAATTAAGTTCTTCAAAGAGGACAGCATTTTTGGAATAAAAGACATGCAACAAAGTTTATACTCTTCTTGACTTATGAGCCTCTGTATTGGGTATTTTAGACAAAATCGATAAGTCACAAAGACCACTTTTGATGAAGCAACAATCTTAGCAATTAAAGCGACAATGGCTTGAATGTTTCAACCAAGTTTGACAATGTTAGAAGTTGAATGATGGCAAACTCACTAGTAGCACTGGAAAACAAAATGATTCTTGATATGCAACAATTTTACCTGAAAATCAGATGATTTGAAGGAAAATGTGTGACAAAATAGACTTCTGCAGCTATTACCCATACAGAGAGTCTGACATCATTTTAGAAGATTGCAATATTGACAATGTTTAGGTTATTTAAAGAATTTAGATGCTGACACCGTAAGATACACGTCTAGTGGAGAAAAGGGAATTTTAAAAAAAGGTGTGGCAAATGTGATCTCTCACAGCCTTTCCATTCTCTGGGCCATGAAAGGGGGCCATTGCTGGCTGGTCGTCTTCATGCAGGAGGTGGCAATCCTGTGGTTCACTCCTCAGTATTGCGATGTTGTGCAATATGGCGCAAGCTCCAATAATAAGGCAGACCTTCTCAGGCTTCATTCTTACTTCTGAGTGAAGCAAATGAAACCGTCGCTTCCACCATCCAAAGGTTTGTTCAATGGCCACCCTTGTAGCTTTATGGGCCTGGTTGAATGCTTCCTCATTTACAGATGTAGGGTTGAGATATGGGGTCATGAGATATGGTTTACAAGGATACCCACTATCTCCAAGAAGCAAGCCATCTTCCAATGTGCGGGGCTGAGACTCAAACCTCTGACCAATCAATGAACTGCTAAATACGAAGCTGTCATGTGTGCTACCAGGCCATCGTGCAACGATGTTTGTAAACATGCCTAAAGAAATTTCAACAATAACTTTTGTACTTTATTGTGTAATTCCATAAAGTATCCATACCTCCCATATTGAGAGTTTTTATTGATTGTTAGAGACTCCATCCTTCCAGAAATTCCATGGTTAAATCTCATAGATTTCTGATAGGTTTTTTGGATTTGAGCCCCCCTCCTTCCAATCTTTTTGTTTGAAGAGGACGAAGATATCTGACTTTTTGTGGGCCTCAAGCACTGTAGTATATAATATTTAGACTTAAGGGACCAGTCATTATTTATCGCTGGGGGGGGAGGGGGAGGATTTTAGTTGGGGGATCACTTAATTTTGAGGAGAACAAAAGGGGGGATCAGTCGTAACTGAGAACCCAAAAGGGCGGATCACTGAAAACTTTGGAAGGATTCAGAGAGGGACCACTCAAATTTGCTTGGAAAATGAAGACATGGGGGGATTGCGAAAGTCATCTGAAGTTGTTAGGGGGGATTACTTCAGTAAAGTAACATTCAAACGGGGGATCAGCTAAATTTCACCTTGTTTAGTCCCAAATCCTCCGTGTCCCCAGGCAATAAATAATGACCGGTCCCTTAGCCCCCTTTATTTTTTTTACCTATGTTTATCTACGTTCTGCCCAAAGATAATTGAATTCAAAGATCTGAGTGAGATGACAAGCATGTCAATTGTCAACTCTCTTATGGGGTCCCTACCATAAAAATATACTACAGGGTTGATTACTTTGTTAATTATTAATATTTTTTCACCAAAAGAGTTAAAATCTTTTAAATATAAATAGAACTTTCAACAAATATTCTTTGGAGCACATGAACTTCTACCACCCCCTCAGATAACATGTATTATTTCTGCTTTGTTCTTTATCATTTTTATATTGGATGCTTAGTGAAAATGATATACTCCTTTTTTACCTTTATGGTTGCATACTGCTTGGACATTGATGGAATGGAAGCCCTTTCGGTTGACATAGTCATTCTCATTTTTGTTGGGCGCTTGGATCCTCACATGGGTCCCGTCGATACAACCTACAACACCAGGGAATCCTCCCTTCTCGTAAAATCCTCTTTTGACTTCTTGAACTTCAGCAGGATCAGTGGGGAAGTTGATGAACTCCTCCTGCTTGTTCACAAGAGCCTTTGACACGTCGGTCACAATTCTTGAAACAGTGGATTTAGGAAGGCCAACGGTGTCACCAATTATTTGTAGGAAACTGCCGCTGGCAAAAAAACGCAACGCTACAAGAACTTGTAGCGTTGGCGACAGCGCATGATTTCTTCGCGTCTGCCTTTGTAGTTCGTCTTTCAGGACTTCTTCGAGAAATTTTATTGACTCCCGTCCAAACCTGTATCTACTGCGGAGTTCTTCGTCAGTTAGTTCGTCGAGGTCAATTTCTCGCTGTTGGAACTTTCTTTCGCGTATTTGCGGGTCAATTATAGGGAACAGTAAGTCCGCCATTTTGTTTGTTTTGACAAAATTTTTCCCCCGATTAGCGAGTTAATCGTCCTCGCTAGGTGGGTTAAATTTAATATTTAGTTTATTCCTAGATTAAGATTAATCGTGCTTTCAGGAACAGAATCTAATAGTGGGATAAAATTTATTCGGCGATTAGCGATATTTAATCCTCGATTAGCGCTAATCGGCTTTCTAGGAACCCGGGCCTGGTGTATGAATGTTTTGGCTCACAAAAGTGCCATGTTGATACTCCAAAAGAGAGGAGCAAATGGGGTGAGTCAAAGGGAGTGGGGGGTGGGGCAGGGAGAGAGAAGATAAAATGCCTGCCTGAAAACACTGTGAAATGAAAAACACTCCCTTGGACTGCCATTAGTTCAAGATTCCATGCAGCATTCTGATTGGGTCTGTAACCCATGTGGCTGGAAAATTCACAACTTGGGCCAATTTTACCATTTCACTAAAGCTGCAATTACATCCACGGCAAGTACCCCAGTTAAGAGTGGCAAACATACTCTTGACATGCTGGACAAAGCCAGTCCAGCATGGAGAAAATCAAAATCTGTCGGTGTCAATTTGCCGGCAGTGAAGTCACCCTCAACCCTCCAGAGCATAATCTACCCGCCACAGAAAAAACTTATTGGAACAACCAGCATTTAGGCAAGAGGTAAAGGACACACCAACCTACCGACCCCTTTTTAGCACTGCAACCAAATCTTGTCCTGATGCCAGTGTAGAAAACACTTTGACCCGCTCAGTGCATAATACACACGACATTCCCAGCTGCTCCAATTCTAAAAGGCTTTTTTCAAGAGCAGAGTTAATATTCTTATTTTTTCCCCACTATTTCGGAATTCAGAACAATTCTTTCCTGCAGTTGCACGCCAACAAAACCAAAACAAACAATATAAACTTCCATTTGATTGACAGGCATCAATCTACTTCTCTTGAGCCACACCAATCAGGAGCTCCCTTTGCCAGTGTGTAGGAGTTTCCCAAAAGAATGACGATATCGTGCAGGTGTATTTTTTACCCCCCTCCCCCTTTCCTTCCTTCTCCCTAGCACCTACCCTAAGGGTTGCTATTTCTACTCTTCCCAATCTTCCTCTGTCATAAAATCAAAAATGGCAGCTACAACAATACGAACATATAACAAGCACTGCAGGCTACTGTACTTGTTACATTAACTACCTCTAAGAGCATGCAAAATCTTGTACTTTCTACATTTAAACAGATTCTGCCAATGCTGAAATAATTCTGCAAGAATTGGTACCCTGATCAAATATGGAAGGCCAAAGACACACGTCATGTACACACCACAGTAATGTACCTTAACTTTGACCAGAAAGTTTAGATGAAATGGTTGTTCCACCAGGTATGCTCAACTGTAAATGTATTCCCTTCAAATATTTTCAGAATCTTTAGCACTTCCAGAAATAAAGTCAGTACTTAAATAAAATTACAGCTGAAATGAAAAACAAAAACAGAAACAGGGAGAAAAGGGAAAGAAAGAAAGCAAAAAATAAAAGTCAGCTTCAAATTTTGCATTCTATGAAAGCCTTACTAAGAACTGTATTCTTGCACCAGGAAGGGAAAGTCAGGGCAATGGTAAATGTTTTGGGAAGTTTTGCTTTTTAAATGGGGGGCTACAGAT